CATACCTCACTCCATCCTGCCTGAGGGGTTGGGGAGGGGTCCCTAAAAGTGCCTTTCTGGGAGGGAGTGGGGAACAGTGGGGTTGCATGGGAGCTGGGGAAGTGGCTCCTGGTGACCTGAATTATGTTCCACCCACAGGAGCACCTGATTTATTAGCAGGGAGTGAAACACAAGAAAGAACAAAGGGCCCTGGGGACATTTGTGACCCAGCTGCTCAGTCTCCAGGCTGAGCCCAGGCCCTGCATTGTCAGTAATGCTCAGAGGCCCTGTCTCCTCTTTGCATGAGCCCCTCCTCACCCGCCCCGCCCACTCCACTGGTAGACTCTGGGCCACACATTCCTCAGGCAATGCTGAATCCTAAGTATTTTAATGCCTGATATCTATCTCCGTATGGATTTTTGTTTTATCATGAGGCCACTGGAAAGTTGTTTTTTTTTTTTCTAATATCTCTTTGAAACAGATGTCAGCAAAAGCTTCCAGCACAGATCAAGGGCAGGTTAAGGCCTTTGAGATGGGTCTGAATGTCCCTTTAACATCGTTCAATCTAATACCCGAATATACCTCGAATCATTACCCTGTTTTTATAAGAAGCTCTGAACCATATGTTCGGGAACTAATTAAGCATACAAATCAAGCCCTGGGATCAGGTGGAGCTCTGTTTAAATATCTTAACCTTTTATGATTATCTTAATTTCGAGAAAATTCAAAACACATTCAGAAGTCTTAGAAAATGAACTTACTAGGAATTTACTGGCTGGTTTCTTTTCTTGATGTTGGGATCATATCTTTACAAGCCCAGCCCAGATTCCTGGGGAAATCCTCTGTGCTCATGACTTCCTGGGAAATGCAGACATTCCCGGGCCTGGAAAGCCCAGGAGGGGCCACACCTAACTACCTGCCCCCCGCCCCTGCCACCCCCCCCCCCCCCCCACAGCTTATCCCAGCCTGAAAGCCCACCATTCCCCAGTTCCCAGCCCGGATGTCTCCTGGTCGCCAGAAGGAAGAGGAAGAAAAGAACGGACGCTGAACCTGAAGTTTTGTCTTCTTTTTTAATAAAATAAATGAAGGATGAAGTGAGTTGGTGCGAAATATTCTTGCAGCCCACGTTATTCTGCGGGGAGCTCTGGAAGGGAGCTCAGGGCAGGGGCTGAGATGGACACTGCACAGATCTGGCTCCATATTGGCTGCAGGTGGCTAAGAGAGAAGACGGGAGCTTGGAGCCTGCCTTCCTTTTCGATTCCAGGTCTACTCTGGCGGTGGGGAGTGAGGCCTGGAGTGGCCCGTGGGTAAGCCTTCTCACCAGCTTCAGGTAAAGGAAATGCTTGATCCATAAAGCATGTTTAAAATAGACATACTTACCAAAACTGACTTACGACAAGGGCTCACAGTCTTGTAGCTGCTCATTCAGTGCATCTTTATTGGGGACCCACTGGGTGGCAGGTTCTGTTCTAGGCACTGGGGATTCAGAGAGCAAGAAAGGCACGGTCTTGGCAAGGATATTAAACCGCCTCTGATCCTGGTGCTTCTTTAGGGGACCAACACTGGATCATGTCTTAAAAACACTTTTTCTTAAGGTTCTTAGGACCATTAAATCTTTAGGATAGAGTTTCCAGATAAAACACAGAATGCTTAAATTTTAATTTCAGATAAACAACAAATACTTATTTACTGTAAGCATGTCCCAAATATTGCATGGACCATGCTTTTACTAAATAATTGTTTTTTACCTGAAGTTCAAATTCAACTGAGTATCCTGCATTTTTATTTGGTAAATCTTACAACCCTACTTTAGAAAAAAAGATACAAATCGATGGGGGTTAGCATCTCCATCTTGCATGTTAAATACGGACTTTGGAGGAAGGCAGCCAGAACACAACCTCATACCAGGCCCCTTTACCTATGTTATTTCATCTAGACACCCCACCACAACTCCATGAAATAGGTTCTGTTATCATCCCCAATTTGCTTATGAATAGATGGAAGCTCAGAGAGGTTTAGTGACTTGCCCAAGGTTGCCCAGCCTGGGCTTTTTCCATGGCACCCCAATTCCAAGCCAATGGTTATCTTCGCAGAGTTCTTATTTTCCTAGCTTGTCCTGGCTTCTCTCAACTTCTTCCCTTTTTTCCACAAACGTTCAAGGAAAGATTCACTCCCATCAGATCCATGTCAGTGCCCTAATGAAAACCACCGCCCAAGCCCATGAAGGACGAGATCTGTCGAACCCTAATGAGAATGGTTCCGATTATGCAAAAAGCAACCTCATGGTTATTCTAATGTTACAAGTAAATATAAAACATTTAGAAATACTTGGCTTGCGCTGTTTTTTTCAAGTACAGATGTCTGACTCCCTGCCAGTTTGTTATTAAAAATGCTATGGTGGTTTGGGTACAAAGATTGCTGTAAAAATAAAAGCTGATGCACTTCGAGCGCTTGTTTTGACTCTGCAGGGCAAGTCAGCGACGGCGGGGCTAAAGCAGATGGTGGCTAGTGGGGGCTTCTACAGCGGGTCCCCCAACATTCACAGCTGGGTCACTCCCCAGCTTAAAACCCTGCAGGAACTTCCCATGGCACCTCAAATCCCGGATCAGTTCCTGCCGCCCTCCAGCCCCAACTGCTCCCTCTCCCCTGGCTTACTGGCTTCTCCCAGCTCCACGCACTTGCACTTGCTGCGTCCTCTGCCTGTGTGTTTCCCCTGGGGCTCCTCATCTCACTGGCTCCTTTTCAGCCTTCTTCCTTCAGGCCAACACCGACCACCTTCGCTGACCTGGGGTGTGCTCCTTTAGCCTCCAGCGGATTGGTCAATATCCTTTGTTTCCTCCTCACTCTGAAATCACTGTTCGCTTTTCGTGTTTCCCACCAGAAAAGTAAGCCCCATGAAGACAGGGACCGTGTCGGTTTTGTTGACACACTTTGTCCCAGGCAGACAGAGCAATGTTGGGGCACACGGTGGTTGCTCAATAAATGTTTGTGGGACAAAGTAATGAGTTTACCAAAGCTCCTGAAGTCTTCCATTGCAGAGTCCCCTCTGGGTCTATGGGCCAGAAAGAAAGGGGCGCTTCTACACATTTTAATCAACTCATGGAAAAGACCGGAACTTGGGAGAATCCTAGACCGCCGTGAGCAATGGTTCTGAAGCCAGCAGGAATTTCCAGGGCGATGCTCTCAGTCTCAGGATTGGAAAACTTTAATTTGCCATAGCTATTGCTTACGTATAGCAGGAGACGTGTAAAAGAAACGGAAGATTGAGGGGGTTCAAATGTGCCAACGTCAACATTGTCACCCTAATAATCGCGCTATTCCCAGTAAATGCACCGATGTGATGGGAATGATTTTGAGGCACCCGGACAGGGAGCACTCTCTGGAGCCCTGGCACCCTAGCTTGGCATCAAGACTCCTCCCACGCTTACTTTGAACTCCTCCTTCAAGTTCTTCTCCTGCCTGTCTTTATGCAGCCTGCGTCCCATTGGTCCTGAATTATTTGTCATGCAGACCATTCCCTGTGTGCTTTCCCTATGCCTGTTCCTTGACTCCTCAGGAGCCCTTGGCCTAGACTGCCCCTTCCCCACCTTGCAGATCCAAAACCTACTCACCGGTCAGGGCCTGGTTCAAAGATTATCTATTATCTTATCAGACTTTTATTATGTCTACCCCTACCTGGCAGTGATCGCTCCCTTCTCTGAACAACCTGGGCTTTTTTCTTTTTTTTTCCTTTTCCTCATCATGTTCGGCTTGATATCAAGCCTGACTTCATGCTCCATAAGGGCAGGAGCTGTGCTTCATTTTTTTCAACAAATGAGTTCATGACGTTTCCTGGGCACACACAGCCTCATGTCATTAGCTCTGCACAAGAAGGGGACTGCATCAGGGAGCTATGCTGAGCAGAATCCAAAACTTAATTTCCCCTTCCCCAAGGCCTGAGGGAGGAGTGATGTGGCTTATAGATTGGGGAATCTAAACCAGTGTCCACAGGACCCTACGTGTCCAAACGAAAGGTCCAGAAAACAGACTGAACTTTCCCCTTTCCACTCAGATGTTTTCCTGTGGGGTGGCCAAAAGCCTGAAACAGCTGAATTCCTGGGCGCCCTACAAACCTCTCCCATCCCCAGCTTTCCCAAATATTTTATTCCAAAACTCTGTCCAAATAAAAAATCCCTAAAGAAACGCAAGTGCTAACACTGAACACATGAGTCCCAGAACCAGAGATCCGAGTGGAAATAAATACCCTGTTTTTGCCAGGTACATGTTGTCAAATATAGGAACATGCAAATATATCTATCTCAAGTGGGTCGTAAACAAAGCATGCACCTCCTGCGGGGTCCAAGTTCACTTACAAAAAGATGGTAACTGGTTTTGGAGAATCTCACACGCATAAAGCCAAGGATCCTCCCTTTCTGCGTGATCCAGGAGATCTGGAAACGTGCTGAGAGCAATGTGGTTTTTAAACCGAAGCCCAGTACAAGCTTTTGATCTATAGGAGGACAGTCTATGTGCATGTACAGCCCTCCTGCATTCGACAGGCTGAATGTAAACACTCCTTTCGCACACAGAATCTGGGTTTATTATTTTGCTTTGGGACACACACATCTTTGGCATTTTCTACATATGCGACACATGGAGACGTGAGGCAGGAGTCCTGTGACTCACACCCAAGTGTGGCCTTGGCAGTTTTGGGGTCGCTGTCATATTTTCAACAAGTGGTTGCCGTTAGATGGTCAGTTAGTAAAAATGTTCCCCTGAACTCATCGTGAATTGCAACAGGAGGAAACACTCCATCACTGAGAAGTGACACTAATGTATTCTATTAGATTTGCTTATCATGTTAAAGAGCATATTAAAAGGAAATGTTTGGAAAAGGGATGCCATAATGTTGTATGATGGATTGAGAATTCCTAATTTGGAAAAAATGTGCTAAGACAACATGATTGATGTGAGTGACCTACTTTATTTTATAAGAAAGTATGAGTTGCCTCAGGCTCATTGGTACACATATTTGGAAAAAGTTGTTTTTTTTCCACATTAAGTTTTTATTAACATTTTCAAAAGAGCAGAAACACCGTAGAAGGATGTAAGTTGTGACTTGTCAATGCAGATGTGTTTGTAGTCATTTGCTGCTTAGAAAAACTTATCCCCGTGCTGGAAGGGTTTCTGGATTAGGAGTCTCTTGCCAAGTGAACACCTGATGGGGAGAAATAGGACACCTTTTTCACTGATAAAAAATGACAGGGAAGGGGCATTTTTATTTAAAGCACAAATGGATCTTCTGCTAAGTAGCTAGTGATCTCTTAGAATGATTAATATTTCATGGAGCCCCCTGGCCACCTTCCGGCAGCAGAGAGCGAATGAAATCGAGGCTGAGTTAACCATTTTATTTCTCCTTTGGAAACTGGAGCCCAAAGCTGGGGTTCCCCATTATCAAACGAAGCGGCTTAGTCTGGAAATTGGGAATTCTTGGGTTTATCCCAGAAACGGAACTGCGGGGGCTCCGACAGAGGACTGGTGGCTGACAAAACACTCTGTTACCATTAAAATGACATTGCCAGTGAGATTAAGACTTAAGAAATGCCTGTGGTACCATGTTAACTGAAAAAAGTGGGATCTGAAGAAGAAATAAGTATTGAAAAGTGGAGGTAGAAGAATAAATTGGTACAAGTTTTCTGGAGGGCAGTTTGTCAACTTGTCACCAAAGCCTTAGATTTCTGCATGCCTGTGAACCCAGAATTCCACTCCTAGAAAGTTCTTCTCAAGAAATAATCATTGGGGTGCCTGGGTGGCTCAGTTGGTTAAGCGACTGCCTTCGGCTCAGGTCATGATCCTGGAGTCCCGGGATCGAGTCCCGCATCGGGCTCCCTGCTCGGCAGGGAGTCTGCTTCTCCCTCTGACCCTCCTCCCTCTCATGGTCTCTGTCTCTCATTCTCTCTCTCTCAAATAAATAAATAAAATCTTAAAAAAAAAAAAGAAATAAAGAAATAATCATTAATACAGAGCTTTAAGTAATGAGATGTTCACTTTAGACTTCTAATATTAAAAAATTGACTCTCTACATGTCTGCAGTTGGGGGTTGCTTAAATAAATTCACACATTTAATGCAGCTGTTGAAATGATAATGTAGAATAATAACATTGTGGGAAAAGGTTTGTGAGAGTAGAAAAAGTGGGTTAGAAAATATTATGCACAGTATGAGGCTATTTGAACAACTCTGTATACATATATTACTTACTTCTTAGACCTATACATTGTATACTTCAGTAGATATGTGTACAATGTCATATAAATTATACTATTTTATGTGTGTGTGTATATACATATAAATGTATATAACATATACAATATATGCATATAATATATCTTTTGGGGGGAGGGACATTCATCAAAGTTTTAAGAATAACTTTTTCTAAAGAGTAGATTTTACAGGTACTATTTGTCCCTTTCCTTTTGTGTGTTTTCATGTTCTACAGTAGACATGTTTTCCTTTGATAATAAGTAAAGCAGTTATTAAGTGGAAAATCCAAGAGACTCAACAGATTACTTAATAGAAACAATAAGAGAGTTCGCAAGGATTCCCAGACACAAACTAAATAGTTTTCTCATATAATAGAAATAGCAAGTTGAAAATATAAAAATTATTCCTTTTGCTACAGCAAAAACAGAACAAAAAAAGCATAAATCACCATAAAACTGAAAATACACCAATTCATGCAAGAAATATCTAAGACCTTTTAGAAGGAGGTTTGAATACACTGAAGAAAATCTAAATAACATAAATTATTGTCTTTCTGCTTGGGATGTCTAAATATTGTTAAGATCTCAATTCTCCCCCCAAGTTAGTTTATAAATTTTATGTAAATTCAATAAAATTTCTGATTAAAAGAACTGGCAAGCTGACTCTCAGTATTATCCAGGAGGACAGATCCATGAGGATAGACAATTTCTGTAAAAGAAGAAAAATGAGATGGGGCTTGACCCATTGGATTTGAAAAGATATTACAAAAGTCAGAATAATTAAGCAGTACGCTAATGTCATAGAAATACCAAATAGATAAACAAAGTAGAATGTAGAATAGAATAAAATAGGCTAATGGAGAAAAATGTAAGTTATGTGATAAAGACTGTAATTTGTGTTTGTAGAGAAAGGCTACATTGGTGCATTGACAATGCGGGAATAATCAGTTATCCCTTAAAGAGAGGGAAAAAAGTGGGTTTTGACCTCATGCCACATCCACAGAAAAAAAAATTCCAGATGTATTAAAGATGCACACATTTTTCTAAATGACAGAAGTTGCAAAAGAAACCAGATAAAAATAATTCCATAATCTTGAGACTGTGAAAAGCCTTTCTTGAAAACAGATAAACCTCAGGATCCATAAAGGAAAAAAAGCTAACAATTTTACCTGCATAAATATTCAAATCTTTGGTATGGAAGATACACACTATAAACACATGACAAACTAGGGATGTAACATAACGTATGAGAAGCAATTGATTAAGAGCTTTGCTATATAAAGCGCTGCTTTCAGATAAGAAAAAGACCATCGTGCCAATAGGAAAATTGGAAGACGTAAGCAAGATTTTTACAGAAGAAGAAATATAAATAGCCACTAAACGTACAAGAAAAGATGCTGAACCTCACTAACGGGCGGTTTAAAATGAGAAGAAAATAATATTTTCCCTCATCAGTCTCAAAGTCTTAAAAAGGAAGAGAACACTCAATGTACTGAGGATGTGGAGAAATATTTTTGATCCAGTAATTTCATGCCAGGGAATTTATCTTATGGAAATGTCACAAAATGGCCCAATAGATGCTGGAACACTCTGCAGGTGGTTGAAGGAAGGAGGCAGACCTGCTTATACGATAGGAAAAAAAAAAAAAGGTCCAAGAGACAAGGTATCTTTGTGATCCCAGTTTCTGTTCAAGAAGCATATAGAACTATTCCTGTACTGAGAAGAATTTCTCTAGTGGACTGTAAATGGTAGTGGAGTTGGGGGAGGCGTCTTCACGGACTCTTTCCCCTCTGTCACATTTACATTTTTTATGATCATGTGTCACTTTTATAATTAAAAAAACAATGCGCATCTGACAGCAGTGCCCAGAGAGGTGAGGCGACTTGCCCAAGTTTGACAGCACGCGAGGACCAGAGGCGCTGGGTCCCCCGCTGCCCCCAGAGTTCCTTCTCCCTGCTGAGGAAGAGCCTCTCCCACATGGCACCCAGGGAGCACCCTGAAAATGCCACTTATCGCCACCTGTTGGGCATACATGGCATTGGTTTGATGGGTTTCAGTGTGGGGCCTGAGCCTGCAGCAGTGATGGGATGGCTCAGCCAGGGCCAGGGCCGGCTTGTCCACTGCCTCCTAAGGGAAATCCTGGGAGGGCATCTGTGGGTTCTAGAAGGACCCCTTGAACCAGTGAGCAGTGATCTGGCTAGGGATGCCTTCTGCCACCCACATGAATGTTCCTGCATTCGCCACGTGGGGAAAGCTCACACAGCTGGTGGCAGAGGGCCTTCCTGGAGGGGGAGGAGGGGATGGCCTCAAAGTGTATGACAACACCTGCTTGTATTGTAAAGTGCTTTATAATTTACTTTTCTATCCATGACCTCATTTAATCTCCAGATCATCTTCTGAAAGAAGAAGAATCAGCGGGACTGTTATTATTCCCATCTCACAGAAGAAACAACTGAGACACAGGAGGTTGAGACACTGACTAGGTCACACAGCTGGGAGGTGTGGAGAAGGAATGAGAGGTCCGGTTCATTCTCAGCTCCTGCCACACTTCTGGGAAAACACCTATCCACCCTCAGCACATGGAAGCAAGTTCCCCTTGCTGGAGATTGGCCTCAACCAAGGCCACTGTGGAGTTGTCTGCACCGTCTAGGATGACATCTAGGATGACCCCTAGCCCCTTCTGACCCAGTGTCTAGCATGCTTGGGTCTCCTCTGGCAGCTTTTTGCTCCTTGGTGGCTAAGACAGGTTGAACTGACTGTTTGAGGGGCTCCTGGAGAAGGGCACAGATCTGAATGTTCTCCAACAGAGGGTATCAGCCTGCTCAGGAAAGGCTTCTAACATAGGGGAGCCCGGTCTGGAAGCCCCAAGTGCCCTTGATTCATGCTTGTGCTCCACACAGTGCCTGGCACACAGCGAGTGCTCAATAAAGATTGGCAAAGCCAGCAGATTGGCTGTAAGGTCCTGGGTCTCCACTCCAGTTTTTCGGATCTCACCCTGGCCTCAGGCTATCCCTGTCCCCATGCCGAGACTCTTCTTCCCCCACTGTCACATGGGTGTGGGCCCGTCTCTGGGACCTGAAGCAATACCTCATGGCTAGGGGCACTACCAGTTTACTTTCAGAACAAAGGGGTTGGAGGAGCAGAGCCCAACTTTGTGTAAGAGACTTAGAGCAGGAGGCTGGAGAGAAGTGCAGGAGGGTCTCCAAATGGCTTCAGAGTCCACCTTTCTAGCAGTTCCATTGGCTTCAACTTCCCCAAGAATTTGACTCCACCAAGAGCAGCCCCTTAAAGCCAGAGACCTTGCTTTTCTGCTTCTGTTCGTTCTCAGCACATGGCAGGTGCATGTGAGTGAACGTGGCCCCTTGTAACAATTTGCCACAGTAGAAATGAGAAGTTTAGGGTTATAAATTACAGGCTACGCAGGCCAGCGGCCTCCATTGGAGACCCGGAAGATTTGCCCACAGTCCCAGAGAGAGAGAGAGGCAGTGGAAGAGATCTGGACAGGTTGAATGAGCTGGTTTTCAGAGATCAGCCAAAGCCAAGGCCAGCTCACTTGGTTTGGGTTGGGAGCCAGGGGAACCTGATTGGGAGTCGCCCAGCACATACCAGAACCCCCACATTGGCTCCAGCCAAAGCTCAATTACTGCTGGGAGAGGCATGATGTTCTCAAAATGAAGTCATATCTATCGAAAAGATCCTTGAGGCTACTTACCTGTGAAATAATTACATGTGCCTCAGAACTAGGAGATCAAGGATTTCTATCCAACGTCCCATGATGCTCTTAAAAAAGGTTTCACTGTAAACTGCAGGTAGGGTGGGGAGAGGCAAGATTTCAGAGCCAGGGCATCATGTTTTAATTCCATCTTTTATGTTTTGGCTTCATTTCATCTATGTGTATATATCTCTCTATAGACAATTAAAACAACATTAAAGGAGATTAAAAGAGCAACGATTATCATCCATAATCATATTGCTATAACTCAGTTGTACCCACATGCATACACCTTGTTTAATTATACAAGCCATATACCAATACACTCTTCTTGCCAGAAATGAAACAATCAAGAAGTATACATTGTATACTTGTATACATTAGAGTCAGTAAACGTACCTGGTCCACACCATTCCCCCACCAGTGCCCCTTTGCTCCCTTGAATGTGGACTTGAAGTAGCACTGCTGTCACTTGTGTATCTTTCCAGAATTTTTCTCTAAGATCTCATTCAAGTGTATATACATGTCACTGTACATTAGTGTGTGAATAAACAAACAGGTAAGTGTTTGTTTTAAACATCAATGGGATCATATTATGTCTTGTTCTGGAACTTGCTTTATTCTCCTTTAACAGGTCTTGGAGATCTTCTTGTGATACTACATAGAGATAGCTACTCCCATCTTTTTATTTTTTTTAACGATTTTATTTATTTATTTGACAGAGAGAGACACATCGAGAGCAGGAACACAAGCAGGGGGAGTGGGAGAGGGAGAAGCAGGCTCCCTGCTGAGCAGGGAGCCTGATGTGGGGTTCAATCCCAGGACCCTGGGATCATGACCCGAGCCGAAGGCAGATGCTTAACGACTGAGCCACCCGGGCGCCCCTACTGTCATCTTTTTAATAGTGACACAATTTTCTCTAGTACAGAAGAAACACAATCTTTTACCAGTCCCGCATTAAAGGACACATGGTTTGTTTCCGATTTTTTTCAATATTCTACACAGAGTATATATATATATATACACTTTTGGCTTTGCTCTGCCTTAAGCTTCCTGCCTCTCTCACATGGCTGATGAATCCTTTTATTAGTGTCAGCAGACTGTCCTATTGGGGAATGTCAGCTCCATGAGGGCAGAGGTTTTGTCTGTTTTCTTTACTGCCATGTTCCCAGGGCCCATAGCAGTACTTGCTCAGCAGAAGCGCACAGTATATGTTTGTTGAATGAAAAACTGACCAGCAAGAGGACACAGCTGAAAACCATTTTAATGATTAATGCTTGTCTAATGCCCGAACTTGACAAAGGCACGTTTACCTCCTAATCATATTCTGCCCTCAGAACAATTGTGTGAGGTCAGTAGATCCTGCATTGTGATTACTCCTGACTTGCTGATACAAGGGATTTTTCCCTTTCAGGAGGGAAAAACAAAACAAAACATAGGGGATTTTATGTCTGGGCACATTAAATAATAGTTATCTAGTTCCCCAAATAATCCTTGAGGGCAAGGATCATGATCCACTAGATCTTTTAACCCTGTTAATTGCTGGTCAGTTGCAAATTTCCTTATAAATGGTAAATGCGCTATGTTGGTCGAATGACTACATGATCCCCAAATACTATAAGTATGTGATTTTTTAAGTGGTGCCATACTTCTGGGGGCACAGTCTACTAACCCACTCTGCTTTCAAGAAGGCAACCAAGCTATCCTGGCCCATCTTCACCATCTGGTGGCTGGTGTGGGGAATGGTCTTTCTTTCTTCCCCAGTGTTGGGGGTTATGCTTTTTCCTCTCTCAACCACTGGGCCAAATTTACCTCTGACAAGCTTTGTTCAAGGTTTATATACCTTCCAAATGTTCGTTCCTTTTGTCTTTGGAGTTGTAAGTATTGCCCACTTCTACTCCCTTCAAATAATTTGAAAGTCAAAACCAACCAACCCCAAACATGACTGAGAAGTCCAACGGTCATGCTCTGCGGTGAAAAGGAAAGTCACAGGGACGCCTGGGTGGCTCAGCCGGTTAAGTCTGCCTTCGACTCAGGTCATGATCCCGGAGTCTCATCCAGCCCCATGTTGGGCTTCCTGCTCAGTGGGGAATCTGCTTCTCCCTCTCTCCCTGCTCCTCCCCATGCTTGTGTTCTCTCTCTGTCTCAAATAAATACATAAAATCTTAAAAAAGAAAAAAGAAAAGGGAAGACCTACATTTTGAAGTAGAATCAGATCTAGGACCACTTCCCTTCAAAGTGCCCCAGGACCCTAGAGTCTCCACAGAGCTTCATCTAATTCCTTGTCCCAACAACTCTCCCTGCTTCAAAATGTGTTCTCCCCTGCCAACTGGCATTACTTCTATTTTTCTGTTTTCTTTAATTATGACCACCTCTATCACAATACCTATGAATTTTATTGCACTTACGTATTTACAAGGTCGTCTTCCTCTACTAGACAGTGAGCTGCTTGAGGGAAGAGATCATGAGATGTTTCATTTTTGAATCCCAAATGCTAACACAGTGTCTGGCAAATAACAGGTACATTTCCGGGGGGGGGGGGTTGCTTTCATGGCATACTACCGGTATAATTAAACACATTTATATTCCTACCAAGCCTATAATTCTTTATCTTATGAGTAGACATTTAATAGGTTTTTGGGGGAGGAGAAACTTGAAAACTTGACCATTTTTAACACTGCCGCTCTGAGAGACAACATTCTGCATCCCAGACAGCGATGAAGAAAGAAATTTTTGGAACCTAACCTATTTGAAACTTAAGGCCTTCCAGCTTCCTTCCTGACTCAGCACAGATTCTTATTGGGTTCCAAGGGACACCCCGCCCCTACCAGGAAATGCAGTGTCTGACTAACATGGAGGAGTCACAGCATCGAAGAAGAGAGAGTCTGGTAGATGGTGGGCCCCAGCAGGAACTTACGACTGCATTCCCCTTTTAAGGATCCATTCCTCTTGGACTTAAGTGAGGGCCTGCAAAAGGGGGTTGCTGGGGGAGGCTGGTATAGGGGGCCAAGCCTGTATCCCTCTCTGTAAAGCTCTAGGTCTGTGTGTAGTTTGTCTTAGCTGAGCATCTTATGCTTTTTTTTCCTTCATCCCCCTCCCCAGCTTGGTCTTTGGCTATAATATTGCCCAATATTCTTCCTTTTCTTTCTTTTTCTTTATTGAAATATAAAAATTTATAGTCAAACCCACAAGTCTTAAGTTCAATGAATTTTGGCAATTGTACACATATGTGTTACCATCACCCTAGTCAAGATAGAGGACATTTCTAGCACCCCAAAGAGTTCCCTTGTGCTCCTTTATAGCCAACCTCTGCCAGAGGCAACCACTGTTCTGACTTCTATATTCAGTTATGAATTTCATATAAACAGAACTACATAGCACGTTTCTTTCCTTTCTTTATTTACTAGAACAACAATAATGAAAATGTGTAGACATAACTGAATTTCTTTTCTTTTCCAAGGTGTCAAAAGTTAACATCTCCCAATGTTTGACAGTGGTGGCCTCTGGCTAGGGGATTCAGTGATTGATACATACTTCTTCACACATTCTGGTCTAGTATGAAAATATACATATAATTTTATAATAATCAGACAAAATAAAGCTTTTCCCTGGAATGGAAGGACAATGGCTCTTGTGGAGAAGTAAAGAAGTGAGGTTCAGATGGGCATAGAGATGGAGCCCTGGCTGCCTGAAGGCTCATGCCATTCCCTGGCAAGATCTCGTCCTGATGGTAGGGTACTTGGTACATCCCCTCCTGTTAGAGACCTCTCCTGCCATTCCCTGTCTGGTTTCTTGGTTATGCTTTTGGATATGGGACCATTTGACCAAAGGATTCCTCCGACCTCAAACTCTTGCCCTTGCATCTTAGCAAATAGAAAACACTGTCTAAAGCAAGGGTTAAAAATTCCACGAAAATCATGAAAAATACGCGCACACGTAATTTTAAATTCTCGATGACACATTTGTGTTTTGGTGATGGGCATAAAGCAAATGGTTATAGAGCAAAGTATACAAGTGTAGGTAAAATCTATACACTATGGTCTTTGAGTATCATTGAACAGAGATAAGGGGGGGAACTCCTTGTTTTGTTTCTTTAATGGCCCTGTGACACAGATGGGTGCATGGTGGAGAAGGAGTGAATACAGGAGGGGCATAAATGAAGAGAAAGTTTTGAATCCCCAAATATTTGCAGGAACACTTAAAGAGAAAACAACCTAGCAATTTCACAACAGAATTCAAGGCCCGACTCTGCTGGTTAAATGGTCCCATATGTGGTGTGCGGAGCTGGGAGGCTTGGAACGGGCTGGCCCGGGCCAGTGCCAGGGCTCTGCGTGAACTGGCTGGACAGGGAGAAAGTTGTTCAACCTCGCTGAGCCCATCTCTGCCTGTCTAACGGGGTAATAACAACAGTGTCCACCTCCCTGGGTGTGTGGGAACGTGGCCAAAGCAAGGTGTGAGCGGGCTCTCTGTAATTCCATACATTCTACCCATGTGCTGGCTCTCTCTCTTCTCTTCCAGACCTGGAATAAAGGCTCTGGAGAGAATGTGGGATCTAGGCTCTGTAGTCTGTGGTCATTGACTTTTGGGGGGACTCAGAGCAAAGTGTTATCTCTTTCCTCACACTGTGGGCCCTGACTTCCTTGCTGGGGAAAAGGGGAGCATTCTGATAGGATACAGGAGGTGGGGGGAAGAGGACAAGTTGTTGGGGTCAGACAGACCTGGGTTGGAATCCAGACGTCTTCATTTACTCGCTTTGTGTGTGTGTGACCTTAGGGCGAATCCCTTTATTTCAGAGTCTTGGCTTTCACATCTGGAAGGTGGGAGTAGAGTGAATACTTCAGTGGATTTCCGAGAGGACTGGATAAGATAGAACCTTGTCACAGATGCTTAGCACAGTATACAGGCGGCATCAGTGATAGAAATGGACCGCCTCTCATGCAAGATGCCCCCGCAGCAGCTGAGCAATGAAATAGACCCTATCTTGTTCCCAGCACACCTGAGCAGCTGCCCCTTAAATCGGAATCAGCGGGGCTCAGAGCAAGGGGCAGAAATACGGCACTCTCCTGCTTCCACAATGAGAATCAAGTTTTCCACCACGCTGGGCAGAGGCAAGATGGATCACCTGGATGGAGGAAATATTACAGATGGGCGAGATGCACCAAAGCCCATCTGGGGGAGATCCACGACCACATGGTTGGCACTGTGATCCATTCTTCATCTGGAAGGCTTGGCATCCTGTGCGTGTTCAGACGTCGCACCATGCAGCCAGGCCTGGAGACTGCAAGCGCTGGGGAGGAGGAAGGTCGGTTGTTTTTTATTTTTAGCAACACGAAGACTTTCTCCCACTTCCCAGCGGCCAAATCAGCCAAGGAGTCCCCTCAGGGACAGAGCAGGGAGGCCCCAACCTGCAGTCCTCCGCCCCTCCGAGGTCCGCAAAAACCTTTCCTCAAGGCTGGCGATTGGCCCCAGATGAGAGGTGGGCTCGGTCTCGCAGAGCTCAGGGTTTTACTGGAAGTGGGAAAACCAAACCTCTTGGTGAGGTGTTGTTTTTTGGTTGTTTTTTTTTTTCCCTTGCAACTTTCACTGTTTTGTCCCACAAGACTGGTGTCCAATGGGGGGAGGGGGAGTTCTTTTTAAGAAATAGCCCTCCGCACCCTGGCAGTCTCTGAACCTCCGCCCCCTTCCCTAGGTCTTCCTGGCTCCCCCCACCCCAGCCCCTCGTCCGACTCCCAGGCCTCAGGGGGAAGGAGCCGCGCGTCCCGTTTCCCCGGCTGTAAAGTGAGGGCGTTTCTCTTTTTTACCTGACTTCGACTGTCTTTTCCTTTTTCCTCCCCACCCTCCCCACTCTATCAACTGGATCTCTTGTGCGGTTCTTGCCTTTTACAGGGGCAAACGCCTGCGACCTATGAGATCCCCATTTGCTTTTCAACTCTGGCCACACCGCCCGGGCCTTCCTGCGGGAGCGGGCGACTACCTGCTAATTTTAGCCCTTAACCCCGAGTAGAAGCGGATTGCAGTTGGCAGCACCTGATCCGCAAGCGCTCCAAGCCCCGGGCACCTTCTCGGAGCGCGGGGCCGGGAGGCCGGAGGCCCGCACGCAGCAGAGGCCGGGACCGGCCGGAGCCCAGAGCGCGGCTGCACGGCCGCACCAGACGGCGAGGCCCGAGCCCGCCGCTCCCGAGTCTGGAGCCCAGAACCTCGGAAAGGCCTCCGCTGCCCGCCCAGACGCCTCAGCTGGGCAGATGCTGCACTCCCCAGATTCATTTTTAATTCATGACATCAGTTTAGGGGCCGTCGGAGCCTCTAAACAGCCTCTCTCCAAACCAAAACAACCACCACGACGCAAATGAAAAGGAGGCGGCCGCCAGGTCCACAACGCGGTCTCCTCTGTTCCCAGGGACCGGGCGTTTGGAAAAGCACTTTCCAGAGAGGGACCTGCTGTCCCTCCCGTCAGAGTTACCCCCGCCTCGCCTTTCCCTGGGGCCCAAATTGGACACCAGGGTGTTTGCCATAAAGACAGAACTGGTGTCAATGTGGTTTCGATCAGGACTTTGTAACTTTGCATTAAACAATCAAATACACACTTTCAGGGAGATTAAAGGCTCCCCCAAATACTTTTGCACACACAACACATATATAATAAATATTTGTATATTTACATCCAGAACTGTATACAGTATATGATATATAATGTATAGTTAATTAAACATATTATATGTTAATAAGTAATATAATAATGTAATACAGGAACTAGATGTTAAATATATGTCAAACAGCATAAAATATGATGAAACCATATAATACACATTATATGTTAAATAATATATATAATATATAATCCCTAATTATATATTGTATATAAAAAATAATACAAATAATACATAATACAAATGGACCATACATAATATATTATAGGTCATATATATTAAACAGCATCTCCTCTGAAATATCCAAGGAGCCAAGGGGACGGGTACCACGGAGCCCCAGGGAGCCTGAGGAGGAGGCAGGCGCACAATGGTCCCCAGATGCTGGTGGCACCACCCCAGTCCTCACTCCATCCCAGCTCCCCACCAGCCCACGTGTCTTGGGGTGGACATAAATATTCCAAATGACTAGCTCCTCACTGGAGTAATGGAGTTAACAGATTATCTCTTACAGAGGTCAGTCTCCAATGAGGGGGGTGGGGGAGACACAAATTTCGTAAATGAGACCCTAGGGCATCCTTCTCCACGGTCACCGCAAGCCCTGAGCATTTGGCGTTTGGTTACCCCCCGCCCCCCAGCGTAAACCTAAGTGTTCTGTCTCAGACATACAAGACAACTTAAAGTGCCATTTTCCAATGTGGGCATTTAGAGGCAATTTGGAAATTGAAACGAATCTTTATATGCAAGACTTGACGTTTCAGAGGCGCTTTAAAGCTGCGGTTAGAAAGGCAGTTACGAAACCCGTGGAGGGGCTGCAAGGAGACGATTCAAAGCAAAGCGAAATGCACAGTTAGAAATTCGATATTAACCGCGCACTTCCAAGTAATGCAGCTTAATGATAATTGCTGCGAGTGTTTACTCTTCTCATGCTGAAGAAATAGGAGAAACGTTTTGACAGAGAAGTTGCCCTGAAGAGTTTCATCTTTTAAAAGGGGAAAATACCCCAGAGGCCGACGTTGGCTTCCTGGCAAGCTCAAACAGTGTGGGGGGGATTCCGTTTTTCTCCAGTTACCTAGAAGCGGGACCTCGAAAGCAACCGTCTGGAAGACGGGAGTGTGTGTTGAGCGAGGGCTGTTTTCGATGGGAACGCGCAGTGCCCCCCCTCGAGCGGGCTCGGGACCCAGAGACCCTCTCCCGAAGCGCGGGGCCCGGCCGGGGGCCCTGGCGCGCGCCGCCCAGAGCGCCCGGCTGCCGGGCCCGTCCGCCGCCCCGGGGCGCGCCGCCGCGCGAGCCGCTTCTGTTTGCAGAGCCTTTAACTTTCCGTTTCGGGTTCTCTTCCCCTCGAGCGCCCTGCCGCGGAGCGTTAGACAAGCTTTGTCGTCTGTGGGCTCTCACCTCAGAGTCAATATTATCTCAGATGGGCACAATAGACTGGAATGAAAAGCTAATATTGAACCAATGAGGTCCCTGCCCGCGCCGCCGCGATGCCACCCTTTGTTGCGCTGCTCCCGGCGAGCCGCGGGCGGCCGGCTAAGCGGAGGGCGGCTGCGGCCGGGCCTCTCCGGGTCCCCGCCGGGGTGGGGGAGAAGGGCGGACCCGGCGCGGAGGCCTCGGAGGCCCGACCCGGAGGTCCCCTCGGGCCCCGCTCGGCCCCTCCGCCAGCCGCGCGGAAGCTGGGCGCATGGCGTGTCCCCGCGCCCAGACGCGGAGGGGGACTCAAATAGGGGAGCGGGGCCTGGTCCGTCCGACCCCCGGACTCTAGGAGCCCCCGGAATGTGAGTGTGGTGGGCAGGGGTGCAGCTGCGGGGCCCCCACTGCAGGGACACCCCCCCCCCCCGCCCCGCTAGCCCTGGGGGCAGCCTGGCCGCTGCCGGTAAGTAAAGGCCGCCAGGGCCCAGGCTTGGGGGGGTGAGGTCTCGTCAGGCCGAAGTGGGGGGGGGGGCGGGAAGACCCTCTCTGTGCGCCTCTTCGGAAGCTCCCTGTCCCTGGGCACACTTCTGTCTCCCAGCTAGGTCCGCGCAGGCTGGCCTAGGTAGCCGCGGAGGCAGAGGTAGCTGGACGCGGGGCCTTCGGGCCGCCCTGCTGCCTGGGACGGGAGCTCGCGCCGCTCCGCTTTTCCCGTCCGCAAGCGCGGCCCCGCGGGTTCAGGGTCGCTCTGAGTCGCCCACGAGAGCGACGCCAGGGTGCGGGGCCACCGAGTCTCGGCCGCAGCCAGGCGCCCGGGCCACCGGGCGTTGCCCTGTCGGCTCTTCAGCTCCCGGGCTGCAGTGAGGCCGCGGACGGCCCGCTTGTGCTTGAATCCGCAGGAGGGGACCAGGGAAGGAGAAAAGGGGCGCGGGGCGAGGCCTGTGGACGGAAAAGGTGGCCTGGAGGACAACGGTGGGGAAGTGGCTTCCAGGCAAGCGCCGGAGTTCCACTACGTGGGGCCGCCCGGACGAACCTCGCTGCTAGCGACGGTTTGGGCGCCCCCGTCCGCCTGCGGGGGGCTCTTCCCTTTCTTTTCTCATTGGCTTGAATGTAGGTATCTGGCAATACTGGCGGGGGGCGGGGCGGTCCCAGGGCCCCTCGTGGAATGCCCACGGCCCGCACGGCCAGGAAGTGAGTGCTTTGTGTCGCCTCTTGGAGCCTCAGTTTTCTTATCTGGAAAATGGGTATTATGACTCCTTCCACATCAGATTCTGAAGTTCACTGGGATCAGGAGTGTGAGCAAACGGGCTTTTAAATGCTACAATTTCTTCTAAACCTTCCAGGCCCCCTCTCCAGGTTTCAAGGAGAGCTGCAGGCTCCAAGAGAAAGTCTCCAGTTTCTTTCTTTCTTCAAATGGCCAGGATCCCTTTCTAAGCCCTAGCCTGGCCCCCAGAGTCAAAAAAAAAAAAAAAAAAAAAAAAAAGGAAAGGAAAGAAAAAAAAAGGGAAAGGTACTGAAAGAAGAAACAGTTCCGTTCCTGAAAGAGGAGCTGGTGGGGCACCAGTGTTTCAGAAGCCATCCCCAGGTTTGATGGCTCATTAGTGCTGACAATCCCAAGGAGTTTCCTAAAAGGACTGAACCCCAATTTACAAGGTCAGTCACAGGTGACAAGAGCGGAGTCTCAAACGGAAAGATGCCAAAGAAGGCGGTAGAGGAGTCAGAAGGTGTGTCCCCCACCTTCCATGATGCCCCTGTGGTCTGCTAGACATCTTGCCCAGCCTCCCAGAGCACCTGGCAACAGTCACTGCCCTTGTGGCCCAGTGGAGCTGTAGTTTTAGTGTGGGTGGCGGGGAGGGTGACAACACTGCCTACACTTGGAGGGGCGAGTGTAGGAGAGACAGAACTATCTCCGCCCCTGCGGAGCGGTCGCCTGAGCAAGACCAGTGGTTCCTAATTCCTGCTTGCCTGTCTGTGTCCATCAGTCTGTCCCTCACTCATCTTTGCTTGGCCTTAGACTCACTTGAAGGCAGTTGAGGGAGAAGGAAACGGGGACCTGCTTTGATTCCGTTTCTTTGACTTTAGTAGTGAATCCAGACAGCTGTGTGTTGAGGGATTGATGCGTTTCAGCGTGATGAAGGAGGTAAAACTCTAGGGCCAGGTCCTGCGTGTAGCTCCAACGGGTCAGTGCCGAGTTCCTGGGTCTGAAATGTTAGGTCTAAGATTGTCTAGATCTCCGGAGCCCCAGGAGTTCACAAGCTTCTGCTAACATCCAGAGAAGGACAGCACCAGTTACCTGCAGTCGCCTGGGACAGCAAAGGCCCAGACCAGCGTCCAGACACTCCTGGGACCGCTTGGCCCCCAGGTGGACGCTTTGAACAGTTACCTGGAGGATGCCGCCTGGATTTCCAGCGAACCCCGCGAGGATTCCACGACCTCACCTCACGGGAGAGGCTAGCCTGCCCCGAGGCAGATGGGGTCCGCGCGCTCCAGGAGGAAGGGGACGGTCACCCGGCATGTCCGCCGTGGCCGCCCAATCCGTCTGGTGACCAATCGCTACCTCGGCAGTAACCACCAGGACCCCTGTCTCGAGCTATCACTGGCCGCCCACGAGGGGGCGCGAAGCTGGGAGAGCCGCGCCCGCTGACCCCAGCTCCCTCTGACTCCACGCCAGGTGGGGCCAGCGCTGGGTTACAGGGTCGGGCAGCGGGATCTGGGACCTCAGGCATGGATGTGTGGGTCCATTTGCGCGGTAGTTGGCCATCGGCCTGGCACAGGTGATCATGGCCGCCTCGTCATTTTTAGAACTGAAATCCTTCCCCCTTCCTTGCACTCTTCGGAAAGAAGCCCGACTCCTACTGGAGCTGGGATTCGAAGAGCTGGAGCTGATGGAGGGAGGAGGGACGCATTTCCATGTCGTCCTCTGTACTCTGTAGTCAGTGAGCCTCCATAGACTTCCTCTGCCGGCCCAGACTGCGGTGACCGCAGGAGCTTGGCAGTGGGGCGCCACCCCAGCACTCCCCTGCGCACGGGGCTCAGGGGCTCCGCGGCTATGCCGCCCGCTCCGGCCCTCGCCACTAGGCGCCGCTGCGCGCACGCGGATCCCGGCCCAGGGAGCAGCCTCCAGGGAGGACGCCAGGAAGGGATTTTGCTCTCATAACAATTTTTTAAAAGAACATGTTTTAAAGGTATGAATTCTTTTCGTTTTCCCACCCTCTCTCTGCGCGTTCGGAGAGGCCTGGTGACTGGGAATCACAGTGGGTTGGAGGAATTCTTAACCGAGCCCTGAGGCCTCTCCCTCCCGGGACACCTTTCCTCGCGTTGGCACTGGGCTTGGGAAAGGGCTCACCCTTCGCGGACGTCCACGCTTCCCATGCTTCCAGTGCGGACTCACGGAACCGGTTCCGACTCACTGGGAGGGTCCTGGATGTGGCGGAGTGCACCAGGCGGGCTGGACCACACCAGGCGGTGGCCTGACAATAATATTTGTTGAATGGGGACTATGCCAAACATTAGCTCACTTAACTCCTCTCAGCAACTGTTAAGATTTTGATATTTCCTCTTCACGGATAAGAAAACTGAGACTCAAGAAGGTGGTGGCAAAGGCAGTGACCCCAGGTGGCACCTGGGCATCCATCCCGAATTGCAGGAGGCGATGAATGCACTCCAGGCAGGAAGCTCAAAGCAGGTAATTATGAGAGATCCCCCCCAAATTTCTGTCCTTTGATGCCTCCCACTAGCCAGGAATCCAGGCTTCTCTCACCCCAGCACCTGCCCAGGGAAGTCCCAGGCCTTTGGGGGGGAGCATGGAGAAACTAGTGGCAGGAACGTGAGACCAGCAATAGCTTATGTTTGCACAACTATGTTGGTTCAGTCTTGAAGCCCAGCAAGGAGCCCTGGAGGTGGGCGGGTAATAATAGCAACATCAGGGACAGGAGCTAACTTTTATTACAGTTCATTATGTGCTAATCACAGTCCAAGCACTTTGCTTGGCCGATCTACTTAAATAACCCCAAGGGCCAGGATACTATTATTTATCTCCAGTTCACAGAAAAGAAAGGCTCCGAGAGGTCAGGCAATTTGCTCAAGGTCACCCAGAACTGACTGGTGTTTTGGGGTGGGGCAGGTTCATTACTGTATAACATACAGTGAAATTCACCCTTTGTAGTGTACAGTTCTATGAGTTTGGAAAAACGCTCATAGAGGTGTAATTACCACCATAATCAAGAAGTAGAAGGGTTCTATCACTCCTCAAAACAGGCCTGACTTCTACCCTCCACTGCCTCGCGGGCAGCATGGACCAGATTTTTATAGATGACAAGATGGAAGTGGGGAGATGTTGTGGTGTTTGCCTAAGATCGCTCAGCCAGTAAATGACAGATCCCAGATTCAAACCTTCACCTTGGGTCGGCTAGTCCAGCTGTCTGTTTAATGTAGATTCCTGCTTCTACAGAACCCAACTTGAGGTAGTTTGGGGTGGGAAAGAGAGCCCTTTGCCCTAAGATGGAGCCTCAGAAATCCCCACTGCACGCTCCAGTACTTAACCAAACACCCATCCTTTTAGGGCAGCTAGGAAACAAAGAAGGGCCGGATTCTGCAAAGGCCTAAGCCACGAATAAAGTGAGGGGCAGCCTCGAGGTGCAAGGAGCAAGGGTCAAGTTGGCCCAGGGTCCGAGTCCAGACCAGAGTGCCCAGTGCCCTGGTGAGCCTCACCCACCAGTCTGGTTAATGAGTTACTGTCTTAGTTAATTCTCCTGCACGTCAGGGGCGGCAGTTCGAACCTTCCCAAGTTCCTCAGGTCCCGGATTGCATGAATTAGCATCGATTATCTGGCTTGGCTTCTGCGTGGTCCAAACCCCTTTCTCCCTCGTGTGGGCCGGAGCGAGACTTGGGGCTGGCAGAACTTGGGGCAGAGGAAATGGACCCTGCTGCTCCCTCACCCTTGCCCACCTGCCGGCCACAAGAGACCCCGGGGCAAACCTCCGGGGACTTTGCAAGAGCTGGGTGGCCTGCAGCCAGCCGATATTGCAGGAAGGGAGACAAGGATCCGAGCAATCTGGGCCCTTTCCCCGGGCCAAATGTTCCTGCCTCTGGCAGGAAGAGGAGGGGATCTGGGCTCCAGACTGTGGCTCACTCCCTTGAGCACTCCAGACACTCCTAGCCAAAGGTAGGAAAGGGTTTAAGGGAGTACCAACAACACTTTAGCGCCCAGTCTCTGACTTTTAAAAAAGGTCGAACGCCCTTACATTTTAGACACCATGGCATACCTCACTCCACCTCCCAGACACTAACTGGATCCCCTTTGCCCTCAAGGTCATCTCCTCTCACGCCCCCAGCCAAGATCACTAATACTGGGAAATAAATGGTCATTCCCCACGCTGCAGCCAGGGCAGGGCTTCTAGTACCCCTAGTTTTGACCCTCCATCCTTCCTGGAGAGCCTTCCAAGGAGAAGGAGGACCTCGCCCTCTGGTTCCGGGATCCATGATCTAAGCCCACCTAAATCGGGTGTTTCTTTCTGGCTTTGGAAATGGAGGTCTGACCTCTACCTCCACCCCAGGCTTGCTGGCCAGCAACAGCCAAACACCTTTCAGGGTGGCTTCGGGTTCCCTGCTGGCCTGGGCACGGTGGGGATTGTGTCCCTACAGCTTAATGGAGGGAGGGATTTCTGAACTGGAGACAGTATCTCTGGAGGTCGGTGGTTCAGGCCACAGGGAAGTACATCTCCAAATGCACCCCACCACGAGGCTGGACTGAACACCCTGCATCCTTGGGCCTGGGGAAAAGGATGGGGGGGGGGGGACAATGCTGCAAAGCAAGACCATAAGAACCTGGGAAGGGTGAAAACCCAGTCACCACCCCAGCCCAGAGCTGGCGTCAGAGGTCTGAAGCTTGAGACGGGGTCAGGTTTCTCCGGGCATGAGGGCAAAGCCAAGGCCCACACCTGTCTTGTGTGTGAGTGTGTATATGTGTGCATGCTCTGGGAAAGTTGGGGGGGGGTGCGCGGCACATGTGATCTCTGTTAGCTAAGATCAGGTGCTCAGACAACCCCAGAAAACACACTTCAAACTCTCTTGCCTGCGGGGTTTTCCTAAAGGGTTTCCCCTCCCCACCCCAAAACAAATTATGCCTGGAATAAAGAAGTCGAGAAATTGACCTAAACAGAAAAATACAGCGGATGAAACCAGAGAGGGTCAGGGGAGACCTCCAGGGCAGGGAGGTAGGTAGTTGGTCAAGCAGGGGAGTATGTCCAAAGACCCAGGCCCTCCCCTGATGAAGCTGGTGGTGGAAGCAATCTGGCTCTCAGGACTTTGCTCTTCTCCCCCGCTCCCAGTCGACTTTTCTCAGGTCTCACGGCAACCTAGTCACCAAACACAGGCATTTCTTCCTCCTTTAGAGAAATGGCATGGACCTCTAAGTAATAGATTTAAAGGATGCCAGATTTTTTTTCTCATTAATTGTAAACGTGCAAAATACCTGCTGGTACTTCACTTTAGAAGAATGCAATTGGCAAGAAGAAAAAAAAAGGAAAAAGAAGCGGCTGATGAATAGATAATAGATCTTTAACCACCAATAAACAGAGAGCAGCGCCAGCAGCCTGGGGGATGTGATCATAATTATGCCGCTGCGTGAGCCAATGGGGACGAGGGAACTCGGCCCTAAAATCATCCCAAAACCAAAGGCGAGCTCGAAAATGCGGACACGGCCTGGGACCGGAGACGCGATCCGCCGCCGTAGTTGCAAGCCCCGCACAGCAACCCGCCCCTGGCACGACAGATGGCGGAATAATAGGAGAAATAATAATAATAAAACAACAACAGCAGCAGCAATAGTGATGATGACAAAACTAACGCAAATCATAACGACAGCGTAACGATAATAGTAACACCAAGTGCGCCTTTCCCCTGACCTTGGACCCCCTGGCCCCAGATACCACCCTTAGGAACGGTTTGGGGGAAGGAGGTGAGCACCCTCCCAGAGAGAAAAAGCCGGGAGCCTGTGGGGCTGGTGGGAAGCCCGTCGCCCGGGCAGGGTCTTGACTCGTGTCTCAACTTGCAAACGAACAAACCGGGTCAAGAATCGCGAACGCAGCGACCCTGGGACCTCGACGCTACGCGTGGTTGGAGGACTCCCCCCAACCCCCAGCCCAGGCTACATCCTCACCTGGGAAACAGCCGGGAGTTCTGCTGGGGGTGGGGACCGATGCAACCGAACCGCTCGGTTAGCCCTCGCCTCCTGGCCCTCCACCCCTGCCTGCTTACCCTCGCGGTGCTCCGGGCGGCGATCCCAGCTTCGCGGACGCGGGGCCACGGGGGCCAGCAGCGGCCGAGAGCTAGGCGCGAGGGAATCTGCGTGTCCGTCCGTCCGTCTGTCCCACCAGCTCGGGATCCAGGGGGCCGCATCCGAGGCGGCGCGGGCCGGGGACTCTGCAGGGACCGGGGTGCCCCGGAGGGAGTGGTGGTGGTGAAGGAGGAGGCGGTGGCAGAGGGGGAGGAGGTGGGGAAAGAGGAGGAGGAAGAGGAGGAGGAGGAGGAGAAGAAGGAGGAAGAGGAGGAGGAGAAGGAGGAGAGGAGGCCGAAGGAAGAGGAGGGAGGCGAAAGAGGAGGAGGAGAAGCCGCAGCGGGCGCCGCGGGAGCGAGTGAGCTAGGAGCGCGGGGCGAAGGCGCGGCGAGGTCGGCGGCCTGGCGGGCGCAGGAGGCTCGGCCGAGGCAGCGGCGCCGACTCCGTTCCACACTCGGCCGGGATCCAGGCCTCCGGGTTCCCGGGCGCTCGCCTCCCTCTGACGCACTTTAAAGAGTCTCCCCCCTTCCACCTCAGGGCGAGTAATAGCGACCAATCATCAAGCCATTTACCAGGCTTCGGAGGAAGCTGTTTATGTGATCCCCGCACTAATTAGGCTCATGAACTAACAAATCGTTTGCACAACTTGTGAAGAAGCGAACACTTCCATGGATTGTCCTTGGACTTAGGGCGCCCTGCCCGCCTTTTGCAGAGGAGAGAAAACTTTTTTTTGCCTCCCCCGAGAAACTTTCCCCCCCTCCTCCCTGCCTCCAACTCCGATCCCCCCACGCCATCTCGCCAAAAAAAAAAAAAAAAAGAGAGAGAGAGAGAGAGAGAGAGAGAGAGAGAGAAAATTACCCCAATCCACGCCTGCAAATTCTTCTGGAAGGATTTTTCCCCCTCTCTCCAGGTTGGGCGCGTTTGGTGCAAGATTCTCGGGATCCTCGGCGTTGCCTCTCCCTCCCCCCTCCCCCCTCCTTTCCTTTTCCTTTCCTTTCTTTCTTCCTTTCCTCCCCCCACCCCCACCCCAAACAAACAAGTCCCCAATTCTTGTCTGTCCTCGCCTCGGGCAGCGGGCGGCGGAGGCAGCGTGCCGCGGTCGCCGGGAGCCGGGAGCCTCGGGCGCCCGCTCCTCGGCGCAGCATGTTCCAGCCGGCGCCCAAGCGCTGCTTCACCATCGAGTCGCTGGTGGCCAAGGACAGTCCCCTGCCCGCCTCGCGCTCTGAGGACCCCATCCGTCCCGCGGCGCTCAGCTACGCCAACTCCAGCCCCATAAACCCGTTCCTCAACGGCTTCCACTCGGCCGCCGCCGCCGCCGCCGCCGGCAGGGGCGTCTACTCCAACCCGGACTTGGTGTTCGCCGAGGCGGTCTCGCACCCGCCCAACCCCGCGGTGCCCGTGCACCCGGTGCCGCCGCCGCACGCCCTGGCCGCCCACCCCCTGCCCTCCTCGCACTCGCCACACCCCCTCTTCGCCTCGCAGCAGCGGGACCCGTCCACCTTCTACCCCTGGCTCATCCACCGCTACCGATATCTGGGCCACCGCTTCCAAGGTACGTGCCACGTCGCGGGGCTGCAGCGCGCAGCGTCCTGCACTGCCCTCGGCCTGCGCCGGGTGGGCGCTTGGCAAGGCCTGGGAGGAGGTTCCTCCAGCTCGCGGGCCTGCGCGCCCTGTTCGGAAACTGGGCGGCGAGGGGCCGGGCATGGCGCTGGTCCCCAGTCTTCGAAGCTGCGGCCGCTTTGGGGGCTGGCCTGGGGCCGCTGGACCCCTTAGAGGGGGCCGCAAACGGAGAAGTTGTCCCCGAGTGCTCTGGGGTGGAGACGGGCTGGGACAGCCTTGTCTGAGCGCCGGCCGCCCAGGAGTCCCGGAGCCCGCGGGGTACCCAGGCTCTCCGTCTCCGCCGCGGTGCCCTTGCTGTCCTAGCTCCGAGGGGCACGGCCACGGCCCGCCCGCCTGGTTCGCCTTCGCCTGCGTAAGACCCTGTTCGCCAACCACTCCTTGTCCCTCCAAGCCTAGCCCCGCGACTTCTCAGTTCCCGACCCTCTTCGGGCGGCGAGGAGACCTTCGCGCCCCCAGAGCGAAGCCTAAGGGTTTGTTTTTCCTTTTTTTGGAAGCCTGGGGAGGAGCCCCGAACCCTCGCGGGTAGTAATCTCCGAGGCTCGGCACTCTCGCCAAGACCTGCTCAGATGGGGGGCAGAGCGTCCTGGGCTGGAAGGCAGGTCCGGTCTGGTTTTTGTTTTTGTTTTAAAAGAAATGAACCGTATCAGGAGACGGGCTGGACGAAAAGATCTGTTTAAGTGTTTACACTTCTTGCTATTTTTTTTTATTTGTTTGCTTTTTTTCTCTGGGTGAGGGTAGGAGGAAAGTTAAAACTCTAGTAAAGGGGATGAGTAATTAGTTTAGTGGTCGGAGCTGGGGGGAAAAGACCTGCCTCCCGCGACAGCCGATCAATACTCCACGGCTTGTCCATTCATTAACCCTTTGCGTTCCTGCCAGAGCCTAGAATCCGGTAGATGCCACCGCCACCCCCAATTACAAACAAAACAAAACAAAAACAACCTTTCATCCTAATTCCGGGACCGGATTTGCCTCCATTCTCGCCTAAACTGTCGGTTTGTTTTTCTTTGTTTGGGTTTTTAGTGAATCGATTTCCCACCCTCCTGAGTGAACCCGAAACTACTCTGGCTTTGCTCACAAAGTTTATGGGTCCTTTCCTCATTCTCTGCCAGCTACGCTCTTGGTGCCCCCACCAGGCCCGAAGTAGCCGGGATCTTCTGGGACCGCGGACAGTCCCATAGGGCGTCCGCAACTCGGCAGCCCCTGGGTTTCGATCCCTTCGCTGGCATCTTCTAGTTCTCTGGAGCGGGGCAGTGCTGAAGCCGGGTACTCGGGAGGCAGTGGCTGCGGAAACCCGGCGCACCGGCCGGCGAAATTTCGGTCCCGGCCGGGCCGCAACCCCACGCCCGGCCTCTGCACTTTCCCGGAGGGGTAGAGACTTAAATAATTCAAAATTAAGTTCCCGAGAAAACTCTGGATCGCGGCCCGCCGCCTCTCTACCCCGGGGGTTAAAGTTACGCGAGGCTAGAAAAAAGAAAGTTTCTCTGGGTCTTGGGCGCCAATCCCGGGGCCTGGCTCTACTGCCCCTCCTCTGCCCCGAGCGCCCGGGCGCGGAGGTGGTGAGGCCCGTGGCGCCAGGGTGGCTGCGAAGCCCGCCGGGGTCAGGAGCCTGGGGACTTGCCCCGCCCGGGCAGCGGCTGGATGGAGACCTAACAGGTACGGGCTCGGTGTTCCGGGGCGGGCGGCTGGGCCAGCGTCCTCTTCGCGCACGTCCGGAGGGCCCCGGGTCCCCACGGGCCGAGCCGCCCCGGCCGCGCAAAGGCCATGAGCGCTGTGCCCCGCCAGCCCGGCTCGGGAGAAGCGCGCGGCTCCCGGCGGGCCAGGACGGTCCCCTCTAACGGGACTTCTGCTGTATCTCCGGCAGGGAACGACACAAGCCCGGAGAGCTTCCTTTTGCACAACGCGCTGGCCCGAAAGCCGAAGCGGATCCGAACCGCCTTTTCCCCGTCCCAGCTTCTGAGGCTGGAACACGCCTTCGAGAAGAACCACTACGTGGTGGGCGCCGAGAGGAAGCAGCTGGCGCACAGCCTCAGCCTCACAGAAACTCAGGTGAGCGAGGGGTGCACCCGGCGACCCCATCCCACATCTCTGGCCCCACGCAGCTAGCACACAAGTGTGGAGCTCGGAGAGGGCCTTTGGCAAGGAGCCCGGGAGCTGGTTCCACGCTTGGGTTCAGAACGTTTAAGTTTGGAGGTGCCTGGCTTCCTTGGGCTCCAGCAAGGGACTCTAAGCCGACCCACCGCAGGCGCTGCGGAGACCGACTGAGTAGCTCCCTCCTGTCCAGCTGGGCATGACTTACAGTTCTTGGTTAAGACACCTGTGCACTTTTGCTGAGACTTTCGTTTAGAGTCTGGGGATGGGGCTGGGCTCCGATAGAAGGAGAGCCCAGAAGGGTGAGGGGCGAGGGTGGGGGGTGCATGAGGCTCGAATCCGGAGATGTCTGGGAATAGGTTAAATGCGAGTTCTGTGCCACTGCAGACCCAAGGTTCACACCGACGGCTCCAGTTACTCCCCTTGAGGGGATCGGAGAATCAGAAGGCAGAGAGAGGCCAGACATCCTAGGTGCATCCCTAAATCAGCGAAAGAGAGCTGGAAGGCTGCAGAGAAGGGCTGCCTTGGGGGACAGACCCTGGCGGCGCAACAGGGCCCCGAGGCGGGCCTGGCTCTGGCCTGCTGGGGTCGGGGAGGAGGCTTAGGGCTACAGTAGGAGCTACTGTACGTGGAGCTGCAGGGCAGGGTCAAAGTTCCTGGCAAACAGTAACGTTTTGGGGCAGATTAAGTTGTAACACTTTTTCTGAGAGGCGCAAAGAGGTCGAGGCTTTTGTTTTTAAAACGTCCCCCTGGACAAAACCGAGGAGGGCCTCGCGGGTTGGTGCGGGGCCCGGCACAAGGCGCGGCCCGGCTGATTTCTCCTGGATAGCCGAGGCCGTGGTGGTCTTTGTCCGCCTCGCTGCCCACGCTGCCTGGAGTCTTTGTGTGCGTGTCAAGCCCCGAGCGCACCGACGCGCGCCTTGGGCGAGCGCCGGGGAGAAATGAACCGTCCTCCCCCTCAATTAGCAAACTCAAAGCAAATTAAACTCAGCCTTGTTCCAGCTCGGCTTTTTCATGGGGCGCTTTGGGGGACTGGGGCATTGGGGAGAGCAAGCCGGGACCTGGGCCGGCCTTCTAAAAGGAGGGAGTGGGGCGGGCTTCAGGGGCCTGGGCTTCAGCTTTTGGGAAGGTACAGGCCTGGGGGCAGGAGAGGTGCTGTCACCAGCGTTTCCCTCACTGTACTTTACTGCTGGGAAGCTGGGACAATGTTGGTGTCTCGTCTGGTGGCTGAATGGGGACCCACTGCCCAGCTCCCCCAGAGGGTGATGGGGATGGCAGCCCAGCCCCACATCGTTGCTCCCTGGACCTCTAGCAGCTGCTCTGGGGAGCTGAGGCCTCCAGCCCTGCTCTGATGGGAGGTGATGTGAGCAGGGTGTGAGCTTGGGCCTGGTGGGTCCTGGGGCTGGTCCGGAGGAGGGAAGGGAGGGAGCTCCATCTCCTCTTCTCTTTCTTAGTTTCTATCTCACTTCCTCTTTATCCCAAGGTCTCTCAGAAGCTTTCACTTTTGAGCTTCTTTCCTAGCTGGAAAGGTACAGCTGGGCTGGTCCCCAGGCCTCTGCATCCCACCATCCCCCAGGCTTCCTCCAGTACTCCCCTGCCCCCCAACTCGTGCTCACCTGCAAGAGTCCTGGGCAAGGAAGAGGAAGCTCAGGCAAATCCTGACTGCCTACCCAGGGCCGAGGCCTTGCAGAGGAGGTGCTATATTTAGGCAATGCTGCGGAAACAGACAAAATAGAAAGCACATTGGGTCTTGCACAGGAAAGCTGCTGCAGCCGGCCGGGAATAAGGTCTTCCCTGCACTGGCTAGGTAGAGGGAGTCAGGGACTTGTCTCTTTTTATTTTCCTTTACTTATTATTGTTGTAGGGGTTTCCCAGGGTTTGTAAGGCTTTTGCTCTCAGCAGGAGGTGGGTGTCCCCTTCAGAGCCAGGCGACAGAGCAGGGGCACTGTGCCCTCTGGGCCACCTGGCCTGGGGCAAGCGCCCCGCCAGGGCGCAGGCGGGTAGGGAGCCAGGCTTCCTAGCTGATAGCACTAGGAGCTCGGCTCCCAGAAGGGAGGCCTTGGGGAGGCCCGCCCTTTGGATGCACAGCTTGGGGACTGGGCTCTCGCAGGCGTCACAAGGAGGAGGAAGCGGTAGGAGGGCGCTGTGGAGGAACTAATGTGCCCCATCTGCCTCTCGTCCACAGGTAAAAGTATGGTTTCAGAACCGAAGGACGAAGTTCAAAAGACAGAAGCTGGAGGAAGAAGGCTCAGATTCGCAACAAAAGAAAAAAGGGACGCACCATATTAACCGGTGGAGAATCGCCACCAAGCAGGCGAGTCCCGAGGAAATAGACGTGACCTCAGATGATTAAAAACACAAACCGAACCCCACAGAAACGGACACCACGGAGCAAAACAGAGACAGGGAGAGGAGGGATAGAAGAAAAAGAAGAAAAAGAAGAAGAAGAAGAAGAAGAAGAAGAAGAAGAAGAAGAAGAAGAAGAAGAAGAAAACAACCTACAAAACAAAAACAAACCACACACACACATTCACCGAGAAGAGGAAGAGGGAGTCAGAGAGAGCTTCGACGCATCGCAGACTTTGGGCAGCGAGGGCGCAGGGTCCTGATCCCAGGCTGTGTGGAGATGGCAGAGGACGCAGGCTTCTTGATCAACATGCAACCCTTGTCTAAAGAGGCAGCTGAGTGAGAGAGAGAGAGAGAGAAAGAGAGTGAGAGAGAAAGAGAGTGAGAGAGAGAGATCCAAATGTGGCACAGCCGAGGGCGCTCTGAACAAGGGAAGCTGTCAGTCAAACGCCAACCCAGCGAGACAAGATGATTGGCAGGTATTCCGTTTATCGCAGTCCTGATTTAAAAAAAATAATGATAATAATAATGATGGTAAAAGAAAACCCCAACCAGGCACAGGACTTTTTCTTTTGCACTTCGCAGAGTTCCCCCCCAGTCTTTAAAAATAATTAGTAATACTAGCAATCGAAATTCCATATCCAGCCCCATCCCACACCTGTTCAAAAACTTGAATTGCATGTAGCAGTTGTTGGGCGAATGGTGTCTAAAGACAGAAAATGAATTGTAATTTTCTTTTCCTTCTAAAGACAGGTTCTGTGTGCTTTTTATTTTGATTTTTTTTCGAGAAATGTGCAGTCTGTAAACACTTTTTGATACCTTCTGACGTCAAAGTGATTGTGAAAGGTAAATGAAGTAGGCTCAGCGATAGTGGTCCTCTTACAGAGAAATGGGGAGCAGGATGGGGGGCTGGGGGTGGCGGGGGAGGGTGCCCACAAGAGGAGTCAGGACTTGTGCTGGCAAAGAAAAACCCTAAATTAATTCTATTTCTTGAACATTCCCTTTCCTAACATCCCGAAGGCTTAAAACCAAGAAGTAAACTCCTTTTGGTGGTTGGAGAGATTGGCCAAATTCAACCATTCGCTGTAAAGGCCATTCCCAAACTTTAAATCTATCTGTTGCAAAATCTGAAGGACTGTAGTTAGCGGGGATGATGTTAAGTGTGGCCAAGAACATGGCGGCAAGTTTTCAAGCACTGAGTTTCTATTCCAAGATCATAGACTTACTAAAGAGAGTGACAAATGCTTCCTTAATGTCTTCTATACCAGAATGTAAATATTTTTGTGTTTTGTGTTAATTTGTTAGAATTCTAACACACTATATACTTCCAAGAAGTATGTCAATGTCAATATTTTGTCAATAAAGATTTATCAATATGCCCTCAGAGTAGTCGTTTTGAGAAATTGAAGTGAGTTTGTTTTTTTTTTTTTTTAAAGTATCTATAATTTGAGTGTGGTCCTTCTCCAATGAGGCTCAAGAAACCCAGGCTCCTCACCCACAAAAGGGCCAGACTGATGGATTCTTGGGCATTTTAAAGAGAGATGAGGGTGAAAAAGGGAGAGGATTAGGAAAACTTAAGTCCTTCAGAAAAGGGATGGGAGAAAAGTTTTCCAACCAGACCTCGGCCCATTGCAAGGCTCTCTGAGGGAGTTTGAATTCCAGGTTAAAAAATGCGTACTTCTCTTAATTTCTAGTTGTTGTCGTTGTTGTTTTAATCCGGACATATAGTTAAGCGTGGAAGAATATTCCCCTAGGATTGGAGGAAACACTTAGCAGGATCAGAATCCTGGGACTTTTAAACTGTGCTTCTGACTTCAAACCCCGAAGTATAAGCTCCTCCCTGCCACCGGCTTTTCCTTCCTTCCCTTCCTTCCGTTCCTCCCTCCTTCCCTTCCTTCCGTTCCCTTCCTTCCTTCCCTTTCTCCTTCCTTCCTTTTCTCCTTCCTTCCTTCCTTCCTTCCTTCCTTCCTTCCTTCCTCCCTCCCTCCCTCCCTCCCTCCCTCCCTCCCTCTCTGTCGGGCCCCAATCTGCTGAAGGTGCAGAGGCAAGCCCAAGGGCCTCAGCAGCCTTATAAGGCAAGCATTCCGAGAAACCTTCAACTCTTAATTTTAACATTAAAGAGAAAGTTGTAACCAGTCTTGGAGGAAACTTAGCTTTTTTCACTCCTCCTTCCCCCTTCTGGGGGTACGAGGTTGTTTTTGCATGCTTCATTTGCTTCTTATCCTGATAGGCTGCATTAATCAGTTTTATTTCCATTGATAGAGAAACCTCGTCTGTTCTGTTCGAGCTACAAAGCGTCCTGCGAGCTTTTGTGAAAGTGCAAATCAGTTTAAGCAATTATCATACCAGGAATATGAAGGGGAAAGAGGAGGCCTTGCCCAGTGGTCTCCTTTAATCTCTTAATCCACGAATCCAGGGGGGCCGCCTGGACATAATTTAGGACAATCTCCCCACCCTTTACACTGTGATAAGGCCAAGTTACAATGCAGGGCAAAAATACAAGCTTTGTTAACACCCTGCCTTGAAAAGTTAAGATTAGACATTCCGTGCACGTGTGGGGACTATAGGGCACTATGGAAATTTTTCTTTCTTTTTTTTTTTCCTCCCCTCCTCTCTTCTAAAGTAGAATTCATTCTTGGTTTCTCTCTCTCTCTCTTTTTTTTTTCTTTATCTCTGCCTGTCTCTCCTTTTTTTCTCCGTCTCGGTTCTTCTGGAGAACCCTGGCTGTCCACGGCACATTTTCACGCAGACTGCTCTGGGAGGGTGTGTGTGTTGTGGGGGACACTTGGCTGTAGGAGGATGCTGGGGTGAGGCGAGCTGCCTGGAGAGTTCCAGGCTTGCTTCTCAAAGGGACAGGTGCTACCCTGGGTATCCTGGAAACTCAAGTGGGCTTTCCAGCTGCTTTGACAAGGAGACCTCCCTGTCGGATGGCTGTCCCCAGTGCTTTGCAGTCACCGCGACACAATCTCTTCCCCTTTTCTTAAACAAATTACCTTCTCCTTCCACTCATTTCCCCAAACCCAGAACGCCTCAAACACGGAGCACAGACATGTCAAAATTCCAACTGGCCTTTCCAGAAAAAAAAAAAAAAAAATTCCCATCTTAATAAAAGGCTTATTTCTGCAGAAACTATATACTTTTTTTAAGTACAAGAAAAGGTATAGGGTGACCAAGATTTTTTCTTTTTTTTTTTTTGGTAAACGTCCTATGTAGTGTAACAGCAATAAAATCATCAGAGAATACTATTAGCTCTGAAAAAAAAAAAAAAAACCTAAAAGCTTTATTACAAACCAAGCTTTGAAAATAGGGGGGATTAGGCGGCTGAAAGGGTCCCACAATGGTAAGAAGAAAAGGTTTCATGCTAATGAGGTTAATGCCCTTTGTATCTCAGGCCTCCACATCTTCATTACGCGCTATCTCCGGCTGCACCGAGCGGCTCAGAGAGCCGCGATCCACTCCAACGCCCCCCTTCCCGGCCCAAAGAAGGATTTGATAGCAGCTCTGTTCAAACTAGATAATTATATCTTTTCAAGTCGGAATTAAGATAAAGAAAGTGAAGCAGAGGCGGCTCGCCTTGATCCACTGCAAACAAATTTGGCGCACTTTCGAGTCCTTCCCCCGCCTCAAAAAGGCAGGACAGTCAGCTTATTAGCCGCTCGTTTGCTTTATTAATTCATCTATTTAAAGTGGCAGGATTAGAGCGTCTAATGTGGACGCGGGCTGCCGTGGCGTTGAGGAATATAAATATTTGCGAGATGCCATCCCGCGATGACTATCTGGGCGCAGGGCGCGGGGCAGGGTGCGGGGCGCGTGTGCCTTGCGGCTGCGTGCCCTCCGCAGTGAGCGCATGAGAGACTGGAGCCCTTTGGGCAGGGGTACGTGGGAGCTGGGTGCCCCAGGTCTGTGTGCTACTGCGTGGTATACGGGTGCCAGGCCTGCGGGCTCTACGGGCATCGAGGGGCAGGTCCTGCGTTCTTCCCTGCACATGGCGGAACTGCACGCGCGTTGCCTTGTGTCCCGCCTGTTACCCCAAATGGGGATGTCGGTTACATTTGATCCGCATCCTGCTCCCTTGTTGATTGCTGGTGGGCCTTTCCCGTGTAGCCCCCTGAGCCAAGTGGATTTGGGGTGGGTTCTCCGTTGCGTTACCCTGAGAAAGTCAAGCGGAGTGTACGGTGCCCGTGTGCCCCTGCGAGGTTCTCCTGCCAGGTACACGCGGCCTCCGAGTGCGTTTCTCGCTTGGGGTCCTATTCCTCCGCAGCCAAGGGTCCGGTACGCAGGCGCGGGGCGGGCGGGGGTCGGAGTCGGGCTTTTCCGAGGCACCCGAATCTCCTGGGGTGGCAGAAGCCTTGGGACCTCCGCACGGTTCCCCCTTTCTGCCTTTCCTTCTGGGTGTGCGGTGCCCGCAGCTCCCTCTGACTCTGCTCCTGGAAGCCGAGCCGAGCCAGAGCGGGAGCGTTGGCGGCCACCCGGAACCTGCCGGGCCACTTTTGTGCTAGGGGCGGATTGTGGCAGGCAGACGGCCACGCCAAGTGGGCCTGGCAGAAACGGGGCTCGGGCCTGCGCGCGGCCCTGGAAACCTCGGCTCCTCCCCGTCCCCGCCTCAGAGTCGCAGGAAACAAAGTCTCCCGACGCGCGGGCCGACTGGGGAGGGACTCGGGCGGCTCGGGGCCCCGGCCCGCTCCGCGGTGGGGGCATCTGGGCTGGGCTGCCCGCCTGTGGGCAGTTTCAAGTCGGAAGAAGCGGGTGGAAGTAGCTAGAGTGAGAGGCTAGGCTCGTGTGCTGGTGTAGGTGGAGTGCCTGGGTTGGGTCCCTGAAAGAGTTGTGTTCGCGTGGAGATGGAATTGTGTGTCTGAGCCAGGACTTAAGTCGGGATACGATGCGGAGGTGCCGAATGTGCTAACGGCGTGTTTGAGGCCGAAGAGGTCAGGGCTACCCCTGTGGGTTGTGTGAGTGAGTCAAGGTGGGTCCAGCTTGCCTTGGCCATCGAGCTTATATCGAGGTAGGGCGACACCGTGCAGCGGCGAGGCTCTAGTGTCCACGGAGGTGGAGAAATGCACTTCGTGTTCGGAATGTGTGTGCCAGAGTCCGGTCGCAGAGGGTGCCTCTGGGAGTCCGGCTCTAGTTGTGGATCGCAGGCAATGGGAAGGCCCTCAGCGTGTGTGTGAACCGCGGGAACATTTCTCTGTGTTTGGGTGGAGGTCCCCGTGGGCTGGCGTCCCTGCTGGGTACTGGAGGCAGCTTTTGTACCCCTCGGGATGTAGGCGTGTGTGTGTCCAGCCAGAAGCCGGGGTTCACGTATGGTTCCTACAGCGCACCACTCGCTCCGGAGTTTGGTAACAACAGCCGTTTGGGGGTAACTGCGCATTTTTCTAGGCCGGCCTTGATCATTCCCGCAGTCAGCCTTAGATTTACTTGGGTGCCGCCTCTGGGCAGCGGCGGGCCTGGCGGGAGAGGGAAAGGGGCCTGTGAGGTCGGGGTGCCGCGAGGCCGAGCTGCGGGGCCGCTGGTGTAGGCCCAGGGCTCGGCCGCCGGCTTTACCTCCCCCAACCAAACCCGCAGCGAGGGGAAGTGGGAGTTTTGAGAACCCGCTGACCCCAGCCGTGACCCCGCTCGGGGAGGCGGCTTCTCCCGGCGCGACCCTGTACGCCAGGAAACCCGAGGCGGTGCCACGCTTGAAAGCGAAAGGTCCATTCATCAGCCGCGCCCCAGCGTCTAATTGGCCTTTTGTTCATTAGTGCCGATTGCCCAGCGGGAGTGGGAAGGGGGCTTGGGAGGGCCCCGGGGGCTGCAAGCAGGGGTGCTTGGCGCCTCGGGCCGGGGGTCCGGGTAGGGCATGGCGCGTCGCACTCCTCCGAGGGGGCGCCAGAGCGCGCCAAAGATCGCGCCCACGTGCAAGGATGCTCGGCGGGAGGCTGGTCTTCCAGCGTCCGGGCCGGATCCTCCGAGCGGCCGGAGACCCACCGCCCCGTCCTTGCCCTCACTTCCACCCGCAGACCCAGCCCACGTCTTTCCTCCTCACCCTCGGGATTTCAGACCGGCCTTCCTGCCTCTCAAGTTCCCAGCTCAGGCGCTGGCCTTGGGGCTGGGCTGGGCTCACGGCCCGCCTTTCTTCCAGGCTTCTAGAGTTCTTTCGCCCTGGTCTTGCCGCCTACCCCAGAGCGACTCTGGGTTCCCCTCCCTGGACACCAACAACAACACAGTCCTGTCGGGCCAGTGCCCTACTTCTCTGGGTGGGAAATTGAGAGCAAATTTTGGCCGGGCAGGGAGGTAGGAGTTGCCCCACTCTTCTGGGATCAGATGGAGGAGGAAGCCCAAGCCTCCAGTGCTCCAAGTTCTAGCTCTTTCTCCAAATCACCTTACCTTCTTGCTCCCCATC